TTCCTGGTCTGAGTCACAAGTTTGTGAGAACAGAAAGCAGCTCCTGAAGTAAATTTACATAAGGGTTTATTTGTGTGCCTTTCTAGAGACAAATCTGCACAGGGCTTTGGGATGTATTCTTTCTCAGCTGAAGTTCTGGCCCCCTGCAAATAACCTTTCATGTTACTATGAATTTGCTGGGTTTGTGACTACCCTGGTGAGGCAGAAGTGTCAGTAGGGCAGTTCCCCTGAAACTCATGCCAGTCCTGCTGGAAGTGACTTTGGCTCCTTATGTTCAAGCACCTTTTGTTCTCCAAAGGGCATTCCTTTTCAACACCATGAGCCCACATGATTTCTTGGACAGTCTGGATTTTCCTTCACATAATGGTGCAAATTAAGTGCCTCTGGCCTTCAGTAGAATTGGGATATGTGTGACTGCCTCTCAAAGAGGCAAGAAGCACAAAAGTGAAGAAGGACAGCTCGTGGACTGAAGTCCCTGGATGTTTTCCACCATCCGGCCATAGCTCCTCACTTCCCACGCCAGCTGCCAAGCTGAGCTCCAGACACAGGGGGAAGGGGAAGGCTCAGCAGCTGAGGGCTGGGTTGCAGCTCAGTGCTTCTAGAGGAAATATTCCTCTGCTCTAAGAAGATGCTGAAATAGTTGTACTGCCAGCATCTGCTTCCTCTTAGACACCTATTCTACTCCTACATTTGACAGATGGACCAGTGAAGGGGAGATGAGTGCTGAGAGCCTCCTGTTAATTTCACTGATTTGGAAACAAAACTGAGAAATACATGTATTTTTATCTCTCACTTCTTTTAAAGGCCTTCTACTCCTTCATTCAGCAAGGCTAGAGCTACAAATCAAACATGGATTTTGTTTAAAAGGAGTGGAGTAGAAGATGGAGGTGTGGCTGATCTAAACCATTTCACCTTTTTTCATGTTTCTGAAGGCCTGAATGTTTAAAATACAATTAAAAAATATATTCTTGGTGCAAAGACTCATTCTGAAGTAGAAGGAGCTATTTTTCAATATCCAGCTGAATTTCCAACTCTATTCTGAACATGCAGTAAACAGTTAAGATTTTTCTTGGATAGCTCTCAGTTCTGTAGGTCAGGTGACACAATAATTCAATTGTGCTTGCCCCTGTTCTTGGGCTTCCTGCAGTTTTTCCTGTCATACACCCTCTATTCCCAAACTTGCTGTGGATCTATTCTTACCTCCTGCCCTGCCTGAAATTCACTGTATGTGCTAGAGTGAGTCAGCAGTAATTACACTTCATCTGTAGGAAAGACAGTGGAAAAGGAGTTGGAGGTGATTCAGCAGAACACTTTATTGGCAATATCACTCTGGAAATCACTACACCTGAGTCCTCAGGTTGAGGGCTTCACAGTCATAGATCATTGTGTAACAGACAGCCATCCTAAAGGCTTTCTGCAGCAGTCTGAAATTTGCTATCCCATTATACTTAGGCTGCCAATCGAAGCACCATGGCAGGGCAGGGACAGTGCCTAAGTGCTGTGAGCAATTTCCCATTTGTTCTCCGTGTCAAACATTCTCTCAAGTCTCACAAAACACAGCCCTGGAGCTGGAAGTCATTTGAGTCTGATGAGTCAGAGCTCACAGTATTATTCTGGCACAATGGAGGCACTAGCAATTAAACCTTATTCTCCAGTTGTTCTGCCCTTTTAATCACTGCCAGTTTCTGGCTTATTGGTTGCTTTGAAGGAGATGGAGGCAGACAGCTGATCAGGTATCACAGAGATGTGCCATACTGATGTCAGTCTAACTGCAGAGTTAAAATCTACTGTCTGATCAAAAATGATTGGATTTATATAATGAACCCACCATGGGATTATGTTACCACATTAATTAAAACAAGAGCAAAACAGCACTGCATACCAATATTATAAAAGGAACCAGCAGTTAATTGTGTGATTGGCTTAGTTAATTTTTGTTATAAATACAGTAATTAGCTGTGTAAACCAAAGTAATTTCTTTCAAAATGTAACTATTTCTATTTTTTTTAACATTTTATGGCTGGGAATAGATTGTTATGAGGCTGAGGGTGAACCCTCACCGGACTGGGCTGCACAGAGCAGGCTGTTCTGTGGGACGTGTAAGGCTGCATGTTCCACTCCAGCCCTGCCAGCACTCTAACCCTGGGTGTGGCTCTTCCTTTCTGATCTCCCCTTCCAACCAGAGCCTAGGAATTACATGATAATTTGTACAAGACAAATCAATAAAGAGTCAACACAAGAACAAGAAACTCCTAGTTTGTGGCTTAAGAAATACAGTGCTTAGCATATTTTCCTATAAGTATTTTGCAGCAATGACATGCTGTCCTTGCAGTGCTTTATAAGGCCAAGGCAAGATTATCTTTCCTTATCTCCTAAATATGTGTAATACCCTGAACAGCATTTGCAGATGCTAATAAAGACAGTGTATTTTATGGATGTTCTAATTTTACAAAACCACGTTTCATTATTTGTTTATTTAATATATTCTCCAAATATTCTCCTTAAGACTGGCAGTATTTTGAACACATATCAGAAGTGAAGCACTGGGTGTTTAATGTCAACAAAAGAGACTGTGTGAAGGCCAAGTAGGGAAAGATGTGAGCGGAATGAGAGCGCTGTGGCCATGCAGGGGGGGTCACATTCAAGAGCAGATGTGAAAGCTGCTAAGCCTATTACTGAATCTTAAACGTGCAACAATTTTTCCTTAAATTCAGAACTGAGACTTCTATTCCTAAGGGGAATAAAAGCATTTCAGGAATAATTCTGTAAAAGCCACAAGGTTATGGAAACTATTTAAGTTAGCGAATATGAAAGTCTTGCTCTTCTCAATAACTTACTTCACATTTTACTAAATTGTACTTCAAATATTTTCTCAATTCACTGCTGCCAAATGCTTTGATGCTTTTGGTTTTCCTCTTTTTCCTAAAAGCCTGAATTAAAACCTACCCATCTCCTTTCAAGATTCCCATTTCTGTCAAATAAAAGAAACAGAAAGATAGCAGAGAGAGACTAAGATTAATAAATAATCTTAGGGATGGGATAGCTCCATCATGATAGCTCCATCATTTCCTCCCTCTTTACAGGCACTGAACCACAAACGAGTCCTTCTGCAAGCACAGGGCTACTGAGCTTCTGCTCAGCACTTTTCCTTCCTGCAGGACTCTGACAGCTCTGCAGGCACCCAGTGCTGCAAGGAGCATCCACAGGCACAGAGCCAGTCAATGCCCTCATCCCAGCTCAGTGCTGGCCCTTCACTGAGATCACACAGAATTCAGATGGCAATAATAATTCAGATGGCAAACCTGCCTCGTGGAGCACAGGCTCAGGGAGCTCCTGCAGCCATTGGTGTCTAAAACTCTCATTTTTAGACTATCAATAGCTACCTCAACACCAGCACAGGACATCCAGTTTGATTCCATTTCAAATCTGAGAAAACTAATAAATATTTTCTAGAAGCATCTCCTGTTCACAAGCTAATGTTCCCTTTGCATCTAAGTGAAAATACTTGCAAACAGCATTTTCAGGGTATTGCACTATGTGTTATAGTAAAAAAGCTTCCTTGCATGCAATAAAAAAAAAAGAATATATCTTAACTAACTTATCTTAGTCTACTGTTTAAAGTATTAGCCTGGCTTGCCCTGCCCTGTGAATACTTAAGTATTTTTAAATTGCCATTGGATAAAATGCACAAGCAATTCCTGAAGCTGTCCAGCGGAAATGTATTCCTTCCCTTATCCACAACAGGAGAAAAATGGTAGAATTCCTTTCTCAAATTCATACAGTATTTACCTTTTCCAGAAAAAAACCAGACCAAATTTCTTTATATGGTTTTGCAGAGTTCCTATACTGTTCTTAGCTGTGAAAAGTTACATTTTTTCCAAGTATGTATAGACTGAGCATTTAACAATGGCTAGAAACAGTCAACACTGAAGAATGCGTCTGAACTCTTGATAAATACCTTGTTTAAATGTAGTCAAGATACAAAATATTTTCCCTAATAGGAAATAAAACACAGTCATCAGTTATAATTTCAGTGAAGCTGATGTAGCAAAACATGTATTCATCAATTCACTTTATCAGAGTACCATAAGGACATGACTACCACATTTCCAAGGAGATCCCACAACAGATCACATTTAAACAATGTTTCAGCTTCATTTTCAATGAACAAGATTTTCTTTTTAACTTAAAAATGAGACATGATCTGAAACGTACATACCCTTACTCAAAGCTGTGGATTATTGAGGTCCTGTCTCCAGCTGATGCCTCTGTTACGGACCTCATAAGAGAAAGTGTTTTATGCTTACCTCAAGCACAGCTTTGCCTACTTGTGGTTAAAGCTCTTCTTTTTAGAGAGCTGATGGCAAAGGTGAGCACACTCAGTATGTTCTTATAGCTTCATTTACATATTTTTTATATCACGATTCTCTATCTAGGTTATCCCACCTCACCCTTTTTCTGAATAATTGAGCAGTGAGTATACAGCAGAATTGGGTAATGAAGAAGAAATATCTCAGGAAGAGACTGTACCCCCAGCAGCTTCCCAGGGACCTGCAGGGAGGCTGCAGGGAGCTCCAAGTGCACTAATGCAGCTTGGCACCTTCTGCTTCTGGCCACAGGGTAAGAAGAGCTCAGCTCAGTGAGGAGCTGCTCTCACTCATCCTGGCTCTGAGCAGCAGGGTGGAATGCCCTAAGTTACAAGCTCTTGGTCCACAGAGCACTTTGGCCTGGTTACATTCCTGACTCTCCATCTTGTCCTCCAGACCTTTCCTGAGGTCAGTCTGACTCAGGGACTTACATGTGGCACTACAGGGGCGATGCAGACTCTTGGGCACCACAGCCACAGAAGTCTTCACAGAGCAGGAAAAGGAGGTGTGCATCTTCTGCCAGGCCATTTTATTGCACAAAGACTACTAAATCCCAAAAATATGCAGGGTCAGGTTGTGGGTTTAAAAGCATAGATATGAAGAGTATGAGAAGGAGCCATAATTTTAACTTACTGCAGAGTCAGAAGACAGATGTATTTATAGCCTTAAATCTCTGAAAAATGAAGAGTATGAGGCCTCTTTTCTGCTCTCTGGACTCCATGTGCTTTTGGGATCGAGCAGTCATATAATATCTCTCAGAACCTGGAACTAAGTGAACCTTAAAAAAAAAACAAGAGCAATTTAAGAGGGGAGGAGAAATGCCACAAGTGTCAGTGGAAGGCATCCTATCCTACCCCCAGCCCACCAGCCATGCTCAGTGGGAGGTTTTCCTTGCTGGAGCTGCCTTAAAAACACTTTGTCCTGGATGTGATTTCTGTGAGATGTATTCCACATGTCCATGCCAGAGCTTGGCCCCAAGCTGACATTCCTACTGTCAGAAGTACTCTTATGCTCAACACAATTTGATTTCAACCTGCAAACCACAGACAATTTTAAACTAAAACAGGGTAGATTTAGACTAAATATAAGGAAGAAGTTTTTATGATGAGAGGGGTGAAACACTGGATCAGGTTCCATAGAGGGGGTGGTTGTCACTGTCCCCAGAGGTATTAAAGTGTAGACATGTTGTTAAAGGACATGGTTTAGTGAATGACTAGACAGTGTCATGGTTATGGTTGGACTCAATGACCTTAATGGCAATTTCCGACCTAAATTATTCTATGATTACTCCTGAAATCCATTGTGGACAGTGAGTCCTGATTGCTCCTTATGCTCCTCTCCCCTTCTAAAAAAATTCCCCTGCATATACCTCAGCTCAGTGTACACAAGTCCAAACTCTTCCTCCACTCCTCTGGATGCTACAAAACAAACAAACAAAAAAAGAATTTCAAAACCAGTTTCTTTTAATAAGGGAGAGAGTTCATATGAAGGCAATATGCTATGCTGTAATAAACTGATTCTCTCTACAGAAAATGAAGAAAGGACCAGTGAGACAGCAACATTCAATAAGTGCTTTTTTACAACCCTCTGCTAGCCTCATTGCTTCCTGAGAAACATCTTTCTGGGTAGTTCCCTGAAGAATTCATTATTCCACCCAGTGACTTCAATTTATTCCATATAAAGCAGTTATATTTGGAAAAGTTGCAGTCAAAACCATATGATGCCATCACTGATTTATGTGCACAGCAGCAACAATGAGTAATAAAGTTAAAAAGCAATAAGAGAGGTCTAGCACATGGGCAAAACATAAAAATAAATGTTCTGCTAAAAATGCAGATTCAGCAAACCACCAAACCCAGCAGATTCTTGGGAGTTTGGTTTTATTTGGGTTATCTAAGTAAATTTGTTCAGAATGTTGTTACACTATCATAATATTAAGGCACAGAGCATAGCCAAGGACAATGGAACATAATCTGGATATCAGAGGATGAGGATATTAGAGAGAAAAGGCAGAACATACTGTAGCTCAGTTGCACTTTGCCCCCATCACATAAACTTATAAATCCTTCTAGAAGAACTGCCCTTTCCCACAATCCACGCTACTAAAACTAGATGGAGCAGTGCTATTTGTGTACACAAAGCCCTCAGCCACTGTTCCCCACATCAAGCCTTCCCATATTGTATGAAATTGCTTTTATTTCAGGAAACTAGGCTCAAACTCAGGGAAAAATGTACAATAATGCAAGTGTATAAGATATGGAACCATCTTAATGGGACAGGTACATTTGGCAAATAAATTCTCATTAATAAGATTTTGGATCAACTGGGTCCTGTTTCCTGCACCAGGATAGGAAATACTAGTTTAATAATATTTTTGTATTGGGGAATGTGGCTTCATTATCACTGGGGAATCCAGTGCCATTGCCAGTAGCGGCTTGGGAGAAGATTCTGAAACTCAGCAACTCCCTTATTTCCCATATCCAAGAGCTTTGAACCTGCTCACAGATGGGTGACCTCTCCTTTTGATCAGAAAATGACAGTCACAGGCTTTACTCTGTGATAATGAAAGATGATTTTTAAGTGGTCAGCTGCACAATCCATTGCAATTGGGAAATGAAATGGAAAGATTATGAGCAGCATGGTTTTCTTGTATACACAGCTTCTGTACAGAACTAACATTTAATTATAACCTTTTATGCTAAAAAGATCTGAAAGTAGCTTCCAACTGCAATTATAACCTGTGGATGGCAGAACATATTTCCAGAGATAATCATCTGTTCTGGGCAGATAATGAGATTTACATGGCCTGAGACCAAGATAGAAGTTTAGAAACACTTAAGAGAAATAATTTCTAGCATGATGATTTCTCAACAACTCTAAATCAATCCAGCTGTAAGGCGCATTTGCCCTGCCATCCTCCACTACCTTTATGTTTCCTGCCTTCTGCTGGGCCTGTGGAATCAGACAGTGACAGGAGCAGGACACTGCTGCAAACCAGGCTGCAAACCAGGCTCTTTCTCAGCTGCATTCAGCAGCCCAACAGTTCTGGATACAGCAGTGCTTTTGATCTATGTACAATCCCAGCAGTTCTTTGCATGCTGTAAATGAATAACCTGGTTTGTGCTGCAGCAGCAGCAGCTCAGGAGGGTGGGAGCTGCAGTGTGCTCACCCCAGCCTCGAGTGGTCCCTGGTGCCCAGAGCTTGCAGCCTGGAGCCCTGCACCCACCAAGGGACCCCCAGCCTCGGGCACAAACCCTCTGCAGGACTGGGAGCAGGGCTGGAGGACCTGCCTGCTTGCTGCCAGCTATAAGCTCTGGGCCTGAGCAAACCTTCTAACGTGAAAACTCACAATGAATAGAGCGTTATAAAAAATATAGCATGAAACTCATGTAAATAGGTTTAACCAGAAACAAAGGCTGAATACTGTACAAGGAAATTTTGGTCGCAGGAGACTGTAGAGCACTTTTTTCAAATATGCATTTGTTGGCTATAGCTGTCTCAGTCTATCAGTTCAACATTTTCTAAATTAGGAGGGATTTATATAAACAGAGCATGGTCTCTAAGGTGCTGTTTATGGTCTGTCTGGTATAAATATTTATGATCGTTCTAAAATTAGTGATTTTTCTAAAGTGTGCTTTTGTTTAATACAGCTCCTGACAGTCCCTCTGGTAATTATGCAGTTTCTTTTTTATAAGAAAAACAGAGGCAACAGAGAAACCCACTGAAAATATTGCTGCAAAGATAGCTGATCAATGGGGGGGTCGTTGTCAGCTGTGAACTGCAGACTCTCTGCTGTCTGAGAAGAATTCCCTCCTACACACTTTTCCCCAGGGCATGCAATCCTTTTCCCACGTGCCATGCAAACCTACCCATGCCCCGCAGGAACATATATATAGGAACAGGGGGCTGGGAGGAAGTGCTGGAGCTGCTGCCTCCTGCAATAGAACACGCGTGATCACACGGAGTGCATCTGCTTACTCAGATCTGGTGTCAGAATGATAATTCATGTCCTCTCTGCAGAAATAAAAATAAACTGGGTTCAGGCTGAGTTCAACAATCTAAGGTTGCATATTAGCAGTTACCAATCTTCCTGGGAGGTGAGGCATTTTTCAAGTTCCCAGTAAGAGGAAAGAAACCAGATAAAAGCCTGGTGCATGATGAGAGGCATGGTGCTCACAGTGACGTGACTCATACTCATTGGTCGTGACTTCAGTGGGCTTTTGTGAGCCATGACTACAGCATCTTTTAGCAGGATTTCCTTGAGTCACTGGCCTGTCTATTACAGATCTATAGATCTGTGGAACCTGAGCAAGCTTATAGAATAGACTGTTCCTGTTCGTGTACTGCATTATGAATTGTAAAGTGCAACTGTGGGTAGGCTGTCAATTCATTTCTATCTTAATCTCTCTTTTGAATAACAAGGCTGTATTAAAAAGTTGTAACTATCTCATTGCCAGATCTTGCAAGTCTGCTCTTAGTACAGAATCACCAAATAAGATTAATAGATGACTGAAAATTATTGTGAACTTCCAAGCCCCTCACCAAATTCAGTCATCCAAACTTCTTCTGCCTCTTTCCATTCTGACTATTCTCCCTTGTTACACAGCTAGGAACATGGATTTCAGAACAAGAGTTAAGCAAGTTTGCTATGGTCCTCCACTTGAACCACTTCAGCAAATCTCAAATACAGAAAAAAATTGAATTCATTTATGACAATTTACCAGGAAGATGGAAAACTGGCAAACTGTAAAGAGGACAATCCACTGCTTTAATTCAATCTGCACAAGCTGACAAGATTTAATTGATGTACTTTCGCAATGGGAATGAATTTGTCCAAACTTGGAGAAGCCAGGCAGTAGTCATTGAAAGGGAAAGAAATGGGTTTAGAAAAGAATTTGAGGTCACAGGGAATAATTAATTGAACATTGTATTATTGTTGATAAATACCTGATAGCTGTGGTGAGAAGGAAAGAAGAATGAGTCAGACTCTTCTCTGCAGCAACAGGACTGTGACAGGACCAGAGGCAATGAACAAAACCTGAAACATAGAAGAGAACACTTAAACATAAAAGAACACATTTTCACTGGGGTGTAGTGAAACACTGAAACAGGTTACTCAGAGAGATTATGGAGTATTCACCCTGGAAGATATTCAAAGCTGGCAGAGCCCTGAGCACCAGCCCCGGCTGGAGCTGCTCTGAGCACAGGACTTGGACTTGACAGCTTCCAGAGGTCCCTGCCAACATCCACCTCTTGTGATTCCTCAGTACTTACACAGAGATCAGAAATATCAGAATAGAAAGACCAGAAACTTATCCATGGAACAAGATTCAAGAAAAAGAAGCTGATATAAATGCCTGAAGTTAATTGCATTGCTTTGACCATTTGACTTGCTGGAGCAATTTCCTAAGAACTGTTGTGGACATTCCAACAATTCCAACTTTAAAATCAGATTTTATTCTAAATATAGTGATGGGACAAGGGGGAATGGCTTTAAACAGGAAGAGGGTCTTTTAGTTAATGGTTTATTCTGTATAAACTATATTCTTATACTTCATAAAACACATTCCTTAATGGGACCTATGTTCCAGTGAAATTAATTATCTTGGTGCATCTTTCAGGTCATGATTTCCATTACATTCTTTTGGCCTCAGAAAATGGAAAAAATGCAGAATATATTCTTTTGCATAGCATTGCCACCAGGTAGAAAAGCCTCCAGTGAGAAGACCAGTGGATATGCTTTTTGAACACCATAAATATACTTTTAAGGAAATAAAAACATATTTGAAAAAGAAAATATAGTAATAGAAAGACCTATACAAGCAATATTTCTTCCTGGGTTGCCCTGCAGGATTGGTCTTTGCAGGGAGAAAGTATTGGTGTATCTCTTAGGCTGAAGTTTTAAAAAGTTTTTAAGAAAAAATCTCCCCAAGTACAGCTGTAACCGTGATGCCCAACTTTGGTAATACTTGTAAATTTGTGGAAGATATGCCTACTTCCTTCTGACTACAGAGGATGGTCAGGATGATGGGCACAGAACTGGAGCTCTTTGTATTCCAAGCTAGCTCAGAACATGGGAGCACGTGCACCTGAGCAGCACAATTTCTAGCTCACTGTGTCACTGGGACAGCTGCCAGTGCATGCAGTGTGTGGCACATGAACAGAGTGCCTGAAGAGCCTGCCTCAGTTCATTTATCTTTAGATAGCTCCCTGACTGGGTCTGTGCAGCCTCTTTGTCCAGCTATAGTGTGCTGCAAATGTTCAGGCTACAGCACCCATTTTGCTGCATGTTCAGCTTCTGTGAAAAGCAGAGAATCCTTCCCACCCTTCCCTTTGACTGTGGCAATTTTCAGAAGTGAAGGTGGTGCAGCTTGGCAGCATCTTCTGTGGGATGGCTGGGTAGTGACAGCCTGGGCTCCACACTGGCATGAGGCAGACCAAGAGAGAGCTGGGGGCTGTTTTCCACAGCCTTCTGTCAGGCAGCCAGACCAAATTCCTTCCGACACAAAGAGGGCATTTTTAGAATAACTAATGTTCAGACAGTGACAAGCTAGACAAAGTGAAGTGTTTCAGAAAATTGATGCTCAGGAAGGAAGATTGGAGATACCAGGGAAGGAGGATTCTCAGCTTTACATAGCCATATTAAATATGTGCTAAATCTTTTCAAAGCTAAGAGAAGTAAAAGTAAGTTGGCTAAAACCACCAAGTATGTTTGACCTTTCTTTCCTATAAGCAAAATCTCAGAGTTGAGCTGAGGCCTCCCTCACATGAAAAGAAGAGATCTTGCTCCCTCTAGTATGTTACTCCTTTCTAGAAATGGGGAAGATGCCATTTGTAATCTATGTGATTCCAGCCTTTCACCCTAATCAAGAGACCTGCCCATGCTATGGGACTTCATGGCAGATCCACCTTCCCACAGAAAGCAAAGCTGTGCATTGCCAATGCCTCGGAGCACTGTGGGACAGACTCCTGAATCTGCAATAACCAGGGCTCAGAAATGCCCAAGGCATCTCACCAGCCTTCCCCTCTACCCTTCAAATCAACTTTGTTTAAAAGAAAACCAAAGATGTCACAGCCACACAAAGACAAGTAGGAAGAATGTTTCTCACAGTTACAATTGCAGGGAGTCCCAGATCCCTCCCTCCCCAGCTCCCCAGCAGAAGTCCTTGCAGAGGCTGCAGCAGCCCTGGTGCAAGAGTGCAGAAAGGGCACAGCTCGTTCTCTCACGTGAGCAAATTTCTAAATACCCACTGTGAGTAAATTAAATACCAACATTATTTGCTGGGACTGATGCTTTGTTTGAGTGATTCATCCACAGAGTTCATTTTGTAAAAGAAGTGCAGATAAGCACTGTCATTTCTTTTTTAATCTGGATCTGATGACGGGCAGAGTCTGTACCAGTTTCCTGGGCTGCTGAACAGTGGGTTGCCTGCCCAGCAGAGAGTTAAAAGAGTACCTCACAACTTGTACAAAATTATTTTTGTTGGTGTTCTTTTAAAATTTTTCATTCCTTCAAGCAGAGGAGAGAAGTAGAAATGAAAAATAATTGCTAACTTATAAGGTTTGCTCTTTTTTTTCAAAATGCACCAGCATCTTACAATCCAGTAAAGATGAAACCATTCAAATTTTGTACTAAAAAAGCTGCATTTAAGTCCTAGGGGAGATGAAATTTTTTGATCAGTCTTCATGTGTTTACTAATGTGCAGATATCTAAAAATATGTATTTACCAATCACAGGTTACCCAAGTTTAATAGATCAGACAGAAACTGTAATGTCTGTTAAAATTTAACAGTCTTCTTCTAGCTTGTGTGTGGCTGCAGACTCTGAAGCCATGGCCAGAATCAAGTAGGAGTTCTCTGGGACTCACCTGATTTGAGCACAGTTAGAGAGTAACCTTTGAAGGACTGCCAATACAAATGATCCTTCCTGATAACATCTGCCTTGAGCATGATGAAATGGCTCTTGGATCCAATTTGCTAAAAAATTCTGTCCTCTGAGCACATTTCAAGTTAAAAAAATCCCACAAAAATGATCAACAAAAATCCCATGGAATTTCAATGAAAAGTCTACTCTAATGATAGGTCTAGATTAGACCTAAAATGGGATTGCAAAAGCACTTTTCATGTTTTACTAAATAAAGATATTTACAATGATTCTAATAAATAAATGTCTGATGGGCTGATTTGGAGACTTCATGATGGGACAGAACAATCAACAGCAGAGTCTCTTCTCATTTAGTTTGCAGGTGCTGCTGAAATCAGACCTCTGCCTCAGCTTCCCTAGGATGAATTTAGAGCAAGGAAGGTTGTTTGCAAAAACAGTTAGTTTTGTGTGCTGGAGCTTGAATGTAAAGACACTGGTATTCTCATTCCCTTTTCTCCCTCCTTTCCCCAATACAGTAGTACCATTTCTTAGAATGCAGCTTATGCTCAAAGTGCCACAGAGCCCAGATCTGGACAACCACAGCTATGCAACAGAGAATTTTAGTCCACACAGCTTCCAAAGTCTTTTTTAGGTAGTACTTTGACAAATGAGAACCTGAATGTGCCCTGTACATACCTTGCTTTGCATCTGGGAAGGTGAAGGGAAACACCAGGTACATTTTTTTGGTCCGTTATTCTTATTGTTTCTTCCAATATGCAGATTTAAGAAGGTTTTGTCTGGAAGCTCAGTAAAACCATTTATGTTCAATTGTGGCAGGATTCCCTAGACTTGTGAAGGCTGATCCTCCTGCTTCAGAAAAAGGAGCAAGGTCAGGCACTTGGCAGTTCTCCTGTGTGCCCTGCGTGCTTCCTCCCCATCCCCATCCTGACCTACTTTGGATAACCCTGAGGCACGTCACCATTGCCTTGGCCTTGTTTTTTCAAAAACACCACCTCAGACTGTCCTTCAAAAAATGACTCCCCCCTCCTCCCGACAGTTTCTCTTTAATGCCAGTATTTTAAGAGGTTACTTTTTGCCACTGTGAATGTCAGTATTCACCCCATCTATACTTTGACACAGATCTATCCTGCTATCCTATTAGAAAAGTATTATCACATTTAAATCCAATTATCATTAATTCAAAAGACAGTCAGCAGTGAAAGCTCTTCTACAGTTTTAGAGTTGGAAATAAGTGTCACTGGTTCAACTTTATGTTTATTTTTTTTATAATTAGGTGCTGACTCTATTCCCAGGACTGAGAGCATGAACTCCTCTAGCTCAGGCACAGGGTCCCTAGGCATCACCAAAATGTTACAGGGATCTCTGAAGCCCTGCAGCAAATTTCAGACTCTGGTAGAGATGCCATGGAACAAACCTTCAGCAGAATGAAGAACCTCTGCCTCCAGTAAAATTAACAGCTACCACCAAATCGTGTTAACACATACATAGTGCTTCAATTCCCCCTGCCTGGTTCAAAAGCACGTGTAAACTTGGATTTTAGGATATAACACTCAAAAATCTGATGTAGGCATGTAAGTAGGTGGTAATAAAGCTGTAAGCTTTTGTTGTGACCTCTGCAATAGAAAGCAAAGACAACTTGTCTGGTTATGGGAGAAATAAAACTCCTGACAAAATCCTGTGCCATGTATGAACTGCATTAAATGGTTCTGAAATGTGAAAACCTTCTTTTTCTTAATGTATTTTAGAACACATTCTCCCACTAATATCTTCCATAAACACACAGGACAACTCTGCTGCAGCACAATAAACCATTTCTTGGCTCTGTGCTTTTTGTATTTCAACGCCCTTTCCTGGATTCTGCTCTCAGCTAAAAGAGATGGGTTTTTTCTGCATTTAGCAAACAAAAATGCAAGTACTCTGAAGTTTAATAAACTAAATTCATGCCATGAACTAGAGATCTTCTCTTCCTCTCCTGCCTCCCCAAGCAAGCTTTTCAACTGGCCTCTAAGCAAGTGTTTAAACTTCTTTAAAAGCAATACAGTAAAAAAATTAAATCCAAGTGGCTTTCACTCTCTCTTCATCCCTACTAGCTATTACATATGGAAATACCCTGGGACTAATTTTCTGACAGGCAGTCCTATTGTTATTTCAGTCCCTTAAGAAAATTTTAAGGTTTTTTTCAGTCTAAGAACAGTAAAGAAAACCCCAGAAACAGATTTTGTTTAGGAAAAATTTTTGTATGTTGCTTAAAACATTCATAGCAAGTGTAGGAAAATATACAATCCCCCCAGCTGATATATTAAAATTATTTTGCTATGAGAGCCAGGAGGTAAGGTGCTAGAGTTTTCCAGAGACCTGGTATGTGGAGCAGTAGCTTCACTTTCTGGATAGAGAAAACACAAACTGCCCTGCAAACAGCTGGAGTGGTGCCTGGTGCTGCAGACAACCTTGTTCACGTGATGCAGCCCCACAGCTCTCCTCCACCGACACTGGAACCAAAACCAATGCTGGGTAGTTACGCTAAATAAAATCACACTAAATAAAACTTTTCCATTATGTTTAAGCAATGACCATTTATATCCCAGAGCCACACAGCTGTGATATGAACTCAGACACAGAGAGGATCCACACCCCCACAAACACACAGAGTGATACTGCTCCAGTTCTGGCTCTATGAAACCCTTCTTAGGGAATTCTGTGACTACAAAGAGGGAATTTCATGGTGTCAGTGTTCCTAGGAGCTGTGCTGGGGTCACAGCAAGTGGCGTGCCAAAAAGTGCAGACCTGACCACACCTCACCAGGTGAAGGGCTGCTGTGGTAAGGAAGTGGTGGCAGGCAAAAGGCAACTTGGTAAAAAGGAACAAGAACAGCACTCTATCACTCTGGCACTTTGCTTGCAACAGAAGTTGAGGCTGGCTGCAAGTTTGTGGTATTATTATGCTGTGTCTCACAGACTCAGGACCCTATTTGCCCTGTGCATGAAGAAACCAAACAGTCCTGAGATTATGTTGGTTGTAGCAAAAACAACTATTATATATAGAGACATGAGCTGCAGTTTCTTACTCTGCCAATGCAATGCTAATAGTCCTGGAGACTATTGTCCTGGGGAAAACTTTCTTTGGAAATATGAACACCCTTCTGCTTAAATATGGTGAAGATTTTGGTAAATAATGATTCCATGCATAAGTGGAGTCTGATGTTTTAATAATAATTTTAAAGAAGATGAATATGGATCAGTCTTGGGGGAAGGTGATCAAGAACATATTTCTTGTGAGGGAAAGTGGGCTGCTCTAATACTTATCAGCATAATTCTTAATTGATGCTATCAGCCTTCAACAACTGACTAGAAGTCGTGGGTTTAGCAACCCTCAAGCATAAAACCATCAGTGCCACACTCTTTCAAGAAATTGCAAAGGATGCCCAGAAACACAAAGTTTGTTTCTTAGGCTGTGATGACGTTATTGGGAGTAGGCTGAACTAGATGCAGAGAAACATGAAACAACCAAATAAAGGCAAGGAAAGTCTGTTGTAATCACTGGCTGAGTTAAATCTGTATTTGTAAGAAGCATGTCAACTCAGCCAACAGAAGCTGGCAGCTATGTGTGTGCAGCTAGTTTTTCCAAAGGAAGGCCAAAGCAAAACTAGAGTGTTTGCTCTGGCACCAAGACAGTCTCACCCCAGCTGAAATCTCAGCTATGTTTGTTCTAAGTTAAGCATTATCTTAATTCTACTCTATTCCTTTCAGATACACAGACATTCTTGAAAAAAAAAAATAATCTCCATCCAGAAGTAACATTTTTGGGGAAGGTAAGTTCTGGTCTGGTCACCTGACCAGTCAGCAAGCAAAAAGGCAGCCAGTCTGCTGTCCTTCAGTACCAAGAGCTTTTATAAGACCCTGCACTGCTCTCACTTTTTTATATGGAAAAACTGAAGCACAGGGAGATCATCTGGTGTACTCTAGGGTAAATAACTACCAATATTGTTGCGCCCTTATTTGAGAAAATTAACAACATACCATAATTCCCAGGTAAAGGCTATTGGTCTTCAAACCAGAGCAGTAACAAAGCATGCCAATGTTTGCAAATAATCATGTCACACACAAACTATGCAGCTCATGGAATGAGTTGGCTGTACTAAATCCAAAAAGCAAAATAATCACATTCACCTTATCAGAGAGAGGTCTGTGACTTCCTCCAGTTATGCAGGCATTGTCTGGAGGAGTTGTCTGGGACCTGCAATGAGAAGGGAAGAGCATCACTGGAGCCTTGGAAAGAGCTGTGGAGAGTGAGTGGAACATTGCTGTGGTTGGGCTGAGCTCCTGGGAAAGGGACAGAGCTAAAGGGACCCCCGAGCTCCACTGAAGCTGGGTGGGTGCTGCTGTGTGCAGGCTGCAGGCGGTGTGGAGGTGGCACCTGTGACACCTGCCCCAGGAGCTGTGGCTGTGCTCACCAGGCAAACAGGGGCTGGGCAGGCCTGTGGGACGCTGGGGACTCTGCCTAAACCCGGGTGAGCATCAGCTGGGGTCACATCAGGAACAGCCCCAGGCTTGACCAGGACTGCTCCTGCAGGGACAGTGTGGAGCCAGCAAGCTCTGCCCAGAGCCAGGCTCCATGGCCAATGTGCCTTGTCTGCTCCCCATGCCCAGCTGCACCTGGGCGCCAGCTTCTGCCTGCCCTGGATCACACAAAAGCTCTGATACAGAGCCAGGTGCCCTGCACAGAAGCCCTTTCTAGATCTCTGGAGCTTCAGGCCAGTTCCTTCATCACAAAACCCCCTCATTTTCCATCAAATCACTTGCACTTACTCTCCAAGGTGTAAGACTGTCTGTAAGAAGAAAAAAAAAAGGCAAAAATAACAAAAGAAACCTAAAAATTGTAATTACGTCATGGAAAAATCTCACAGAATACGAAAATGAAGTCTGAATTTTATAGAAAGAGTCCCACAGAAATTATAATGGGAAGTCTAAAGAATTTTATCAAAAATTATTACTTGTTCTTTTCATCTAAACCTGTATTCAGACTAGAGATTTCTGCAGCAAGCCTTAAAAGTCCACTTATAAAGCAATATATTATAATTTGGACCTTACATAATGATTTCCAGAGGAATCATTCCTTCTGCAAATCAGCAATTTCATATTTGAATGAGAGCTCACCTTGAACATTGATTATTGTTGCTCTAACTGAACAGTTTTACAAAACATTCTTTTGGTACCTTGCAAATGCACTTCAGTGAAGTGCGAGACAGGAAAGATAATTAACTTTGGATCTTTATATGGCTGCCCATTAAAGACACCTGCAATGAGAATGAACATTGTCATCTAAGTTCCCACAAACATATTTATGCCTCATAGCAGGAAATGAATTACATTCAGAGCTAGATTTGTATCTTTATTCATAAAATGCCAGCTGTGATGAAAGTATTAGGGACATTAGTAACCAACTGCCAGTCCCAATATACCAGTGGATGTAACAGCCTACTATTCCTGGGTAGGAATTTAATGGCCTGCTAGGTTGACATAACCATGTAGTGTCTAGCTGCTGGAAAGAAGGACTTTGGTATCTCAGTGGTTCACAAGAGACTCATCTCCCAGAGAAGGCAGACACCCAAAATGTATCAGAGCCTGAATTTAAAATATGATATAATTTTGTAAATTGTTTTATCCCGTTTTATCACGCATGTATCAGCTTTGAATTTAATCTCGGCATTAGCTGACTATTCCCCAAAGATACACCTTGCCAAGAAGATGTACTTTCATTACCTTCCTATTTGATTTTTATAATACTAATCCTGAGGCAAGCTTGAAAAAGCAGAACAGTGATTAAATCCCCATCTGGTTTTGCAGAAAATTTGTGGAGGTTGGAAAAGGGCTTAGGAAAGGATAATTTACAACAGATACATAGCTTTCAGATCAGATTTAGCAACATGACCAGCCTTAGGGAAACGGGACTGGCCTTGCTACTGAAATCCTTGCAGATTTATTGCTGTATTCATGACCTTACAACTGGCATGAGATACTGCCTCTTGCCATCAGCTGCTCAAGATGCTGATGCTCTGCCTCAGCAGCAAACTGGCACCAGAGGGGTAAGCAGGCTCCTATGACATGCTGTGGCTCATGTGGCAGAAGAACCATTCCCACCTGGTAGTTTTGGTGGGGCTTCTTATATGTTTGTTTTTTGTTTTCTTTTTTTTGTTTGTTTGGCTTTGTTTTGTTTCCTGGCACCAGATAGATGAGTTGGCTTTTGAAATCTTCTGCATCCTGTGATCACTCACTGTCTTACTGATCTGGTAACAACACAGGACTTGGGAATGCATGGGGGTAGAAAGGGGTACTTTACCTTGCCTGCCATTTCCGTTTTCATCAGCCTGCTCATGTTCAGAAGTCTGACTACAGCAGAAGGAAGTGTGTGAGGAGTGGGCTCAGCCAAATACACTTTGCTCATGGAGGCTCAGAGGCAGTTGCTGTCACAGACAAGGCCTAGCACAAACCTAAATTCACAAAATCAGGAATTTTAGGTAAAAAGAACATAAACTCTACTTTCTTTTGCTTCATTCCCCATCTCTTTGCAAGCTGCTGTGCTCACCTTTAAGAGAAGTGTCTGCAATGAGACATGACAGTGAGAGTATTGGACAGATGCTCAAGAATAGTTTGAAATAGTGTTTTTGCTTGCCTGAAGCATGCCTGTGATTGCCAAGTCATGCTAACATACTACTACTAACAAGAGCCTTGTTACTGAGAGGACAGGCTGATAGCCTTGGCACAAGAAGCTGTTCCCTGAGCTGCAAATCCAGTCCAGCTCACAAACAGGCTTTGGCTTCATCCTGGAGAAGCAATGTTGGGTTCCTCCCCTGTGGACTGTTACCAGAAGACTTGAAAGAACATAAACAAGGGAAATTAGCGCCTCAAAATCAGCAATTTCACCCTTGAAGAAGAGAGAGCTCACCTTTAACAAAGTTAAATTAAATAAAGGTAAATTAAACTATAGTTCCATTTGAACAGATTTGTGACACTGTAGGACTGGGACTGAAGGCAGAGCCCTTTGCCAGGAGAAAGCTCCTGCTGATGAACCAGACCACTGGTGGGGCCAGAGCCCACAAACCCAGCTTTAGAGAGCAAATGCCAGACACCAGGTTACGCTGAGTAGTCTGATGTCCACAATGCACAAATCCCATGCACAAATCCCCGCATTAAGTGAAAGCTCCACTGTGCTTCAAGAATGCATTATTATATTTAAAAGGTAGAGGTAATTAGGTGGTGAATTGGAATTAGATAAAGAAAACATTTAACAATTGTTAAAAATTTATAACACAAGACTGTGTATGTCCCTTCCGAGGAAATACTTTCAGGGTTTTTAAGAACAGATTTTTTTTAATTATTTTTAAAAATTTTTTTACATTCTAAAGTCTAAAGTGTCAGCACTCTTTTGGGCAAACACTCCATCACACCGAAGTGAGGATTTATGTGGAGATAAAGCCTTAGGGGCAGATTCCTGCCTAGTGTGAACTCGCACCTTTAGGATGGAGGATGGCTCTGCTTGTCTGAATAGGTGTCTTTCTGCAAATACTGAATCACAGCTCTTGGTGCTGACAATATACATGACTCCAGCAAGCTCTCCACATGAACTCTGTGCCAACCTATCAACAGCATTTCTTGCCTCGGACTGACTCAAAGTTCTTCCACAACTTTAGAGGACAACTGGCAAACACCTCATCTCCTATTGAAACAGGGGGAAAAACACCAACAGATCAAGTGAGTAGGGGACAAACACCCAACTATTTCAGAATAAATTATAAAAAACAGTTAGACTGGAAGAGTAGTCTTTTTTTTGTTGTTGTCTTAGAAGTATTTCCAAAACGTGACTGTGATGAAGTTAAAGGTGATGAGTTACACAAACCCATGTTGAGACACCAACACAAACACTTACCTGCAGAAACTGCAAAGGTTAAACATTCTGGACAATGATTTACTTTATTCATTCACCCTCACCATTCCAAACTAAACATTCAAAAATGGTCAACAGTTTTGCAAGAGAGTGTTTGTAAGGAATGCACTGCCTGCAGATCAGTGCCAGGTCTGTACCCCCTGCAGCAGCCACATCCTCAGGGCAACTGCACCCAGTGATGCAGAGTCCTGGAAGGGAATGGATGGTCAAATTCATCTCAGCCACAATTTCATCTAGACCAGGGGAGGTATACTGGAATGTGAGTAGGCACAGATAAGCCCAAACACAGAATCTGAGCAGCTAATTTATGGTACTATTAATTCTCAAATGAACAGGATGCATGTAAAAATGTTTAAATGTATGCTGCATAAATACCCATGGGAAACAGACACAAAAGCGCTCATGCTGTTTTTCTTTTTTCTTCATAGTCTATTCAGAACCACAGTGTTCCTGCAGCTGATTATGGTTTCTCCCACAGATTGGAGAATTATAAGCCCATTTCAATCTACTTTCCTCGTCTTGACAAAAATCAGTTCACTAAAGAATGAGAGGTTCCTTGAGAAACAGGCATAATATTCGGTGCAACAGTACTTCAAGGCAGAGGGGAAAACCTACAGGAATGCTATTTACCTGAAAACAAACACCACCTCCTCAATTAAAGCTGAAAGTATTTGTGTTTCAAGGATTTATAAGAGGTAACTTAATAATGAGGCAATTTAGGAATATCCAGAGGGGATAACAGCTTTCTGTGGTTTTGGTGTGCTCTGTGCTTCATATAAACATTTGCAAAATATCCAAGTTTGATAAAGGGGAGAAGTATTAGAAAATAAAGATTGAAATATGCCTTTTCATTGTGCAGACTGCAATTCTAGGCACAAAGTTATGATTTCCATAAATAAGGAAAGAATCATGAAGTTGTTAAGTTTGGGGAACATATTTTGTAAACCACTGAGTATATAAATAGTTGTATTAAAGTCTTTGCCAATCAAGTTGTCAAACTGAAATTCCTACAGTCAAAACTTGAGTTCTGTAATGACAGCATTTTTACAAGTTGGCAAGTATGGGATTCATCCAAAGCTTTCTGAAATCAGTGAACATTTTCATGGGCTTGAATAAGTACTTTAACAGGATATGCTCCATAATGCAAATGGCACAGCATTCTCAACACCTATCTCTGCAGAACTGCTCAAAGCTTTATAATAAAAATGGATTATTTTCAGCTTAGAATGTTTCAGCATATTAAAAATTCAAAGTCTTATTGAGGCTCCAAATGCATATTTTTCAAGACAGTATTTTTCAAAGCTTTCTGTATTTCAATTTACCCAGATGAAAAAGGCCCCAGTTAATGAGTGGAACAGAGAACCAAAAGTTATTAAATCCAGGTTGGGTTCAAATCTAAACATGATTTTGTGCAAAACAGTCAAAACAGCTCAGTGATGGAGTTACAAAGTGCCATAGGCATGCTCTCCTCCAGAACTTGAAATTCAAAGATTTTCATACTAACAAAATCTGCAAAAAACAATAAACTTGTTTTTTCAATTATCTGCAACTCAATGGAGAGTTTTGCAGAAGAAATGGCCTAGAAAGCAGTAATACATTTTCACTGACTGGTATGGCTCTTGCAAATACCCACTAAAAAAATCATACATAAAAATCCCCCCCATATGTTATAGAAGTGGAAATTTTAGGATGCCTTAAATCTTGCTTGTTCACACAGAATTACTATGCAGTGTGGGATGTGGACTTGCATATTAAAAAGTAACAGTAAGAACTGGTGATAAGGCCTCTTTCTCTCACACAAGAAAGCAAATTGGTATGAGGAAATAAATCCCACACCTGATGTGAAGGGAGAATGAGTGCGGGATGCAGAGGTTCCCTGCCTGCTCCACTTAGTGGCTATTGAGCTCCCAGCCTGACCCAACACCAGAGCTCCCCAGAGAGGAGCAGTTACTCCAGAGAAAAGAATCCTTTCAGTGCTTCAGAATGCAGCTTGGTCAGAGGTTTATGAAGACTTGAAGGCTAAATGCAGCCCAGAGACTGTAGTGCTGATATAAGGATAAAAACACACAATTTTCAGAGTTTGATAATAAAAAAAGAAGTTAGTTCTATGTAATAACTGGATAATTTTCCAGCATGGCTTTCACAGTATTCTCTGTATTTTCAGCCAATAAAGTATTCCTGGCTTGTTACTTTTGCACATTGCTCAGGAAAATTGCACACTGAGATACAAAGAAGAATGGTAATTTAGTTTTTAGACTTACCAGACTTCTCAGAATACTTGCCCATTCTCAGCCCCTTTTGTCCATGGTTCACATCTGGCTTTTGAGTAGGAGGGAGGGTTTCAGGCATGACTGATGAGCATGATATTTGGTTCAGCTAACAAATCATAAGATTTACAAGAAACAAAGATTATTATCAAATCATGCAATCATAGAATGGCTTTGGTTGAAAAGGACCTTAAAAATCATCTTGTTCCAAACTCCTTGACATGGGCAGGGACACCTTCCACTAGACCAGGTTACTCATAGCCCCATTTAGCCCAGTCTTGGACACTTCCAGGGATGATGAGCCCACAACTTCTCTGGGCATCATATTCCAGTGTCTCACCACCTTCACAGCGAAGAATTTCTCCCCCATATATAATCTAACCTTCCCTCCCACAGCTTAAGGCCAATTCCTCTTGTCCTACCACCTCAAACCTTTGTCAAAGGTCCCTCTCCAGCTGTCCTGTGGCCCCTCAGCCTGTCTTCATAAGAAAGGTGCTCCAGACTTGAGATCAACTTAGTGGCCCTTCTCTGGACTCACTCCAACAAGTCAAAGTCCTTCTTGTGTTGGGACCCTCACACCTGGACAAAGTACAGGTGGGGTCCCAAGATAAATCAAAACAAAAATGAAGTGGGGGCTATTTTATTTTCCTGAAGCGAGGAAGTAGAAGGCCATGATACCCACTGAAGTCGAAATGAAGCTTTTATTCCACCTGGAGATGTTTAACAAGAGCAACTGCAGAAGTCAAAAGCTCATGCAGCACTCATGATGGTGGGAGAACCCTGTTCTCTCTGTGAGTGACTCAGTATGCTCACCTGGAGGAGGAGAGGACCAGCCTCCTCCTGCTGATTCAAACCACAGATTTAGGAACTCAAGGGTTACCGACAACAAAAATTCAACTCCTGCCTTCAGAATGCCAATTCCTCCACTCACTGGTAAATGCTCTGACCACCTGAGTATTGAATGAGACACATGGAAAAGCATGACACTTTCCTCACTTTGTAAACCAAATATTTCTCCCCACAAAGCTCATCAGTTGAAATTAACCATTAAATTTTATCAGCAATCGTGGATCAAATGAAAACCTCCAGTAGGGTCTGAAGGCACAAGAGATAATTACAACAGGTTTGAATAGCTGCAAGTATGAAAAAGCCTGTAGCTGTACTTTATGGATGCTCTATTTATAAAATGTAATTTCTGACGTACACTGTGTATATATCTGTATTTATCTTACTGCAAAAATCAGACATCTTTGCTAGAAAACTAAGTCATTGCTGAAAAAAGCACTTACACTACTGGCTAGATGTAATTGGGAAGGTCAGGAGCAGTTAGAAAGTAGAACATTGCCCCAGAGTTACCTCGGTGTTTTATTTCCTTCAGCCAAAGCCAGCCTGTGCCCTGCTTATGGGCAGTCTGGAAACTCCACCAATAAATCCACTGAAACAAAATCCAAAAAGCTCTCCTTACATACCTAAAAATGAAAAAATCTTTTTTGTTATATCTAAGTTGCCAACATGTGGTTTGATATTTTCTGTGATTCTGCCTAGGCTTAAATAATGAGGGAGATGGGAAAGGCTGCTACCCAGTTTTACAAGTTATAATGGACATATAATACCCACCATGTTAAGGTAATATGAGGGTACTTTATTTAACTGCTTTGGACTGGTAATATTCAATAATTGTGACAAAACTCTAATCTTAACAATAAATTTCTCCAATCTTTTTATATCACTGCTTTTAGGTTTGATAAGCTATCTGAAAATTTCTTTGCGATTACCACTAAAAAGCTCTAAGATGGTGATTGGTGCAG